AGATAAAGAGCCTGCTTTGGGCTGGAAGGCACCTCCAGGATCCCCCGCCCCACCCCTGCCAAAGGCAGACCAGGCTGCCCCGAGCCCATCCCATCGCCCACCCAGCATGCGCAGGCGGCCAATCTTGTCCATGAGCAGGGCCGAGACGATGTTTCCAGGGAGCACAGCCAGGGTGCCCAGGAAGCTGACAAAGTAGATCATGTAGGCGTTGTTGTCGTCGCTGAAGTCCAGCTGGCAGCCCTCCTTGTTGTGCAGGAACGTGCTGTTCAGCACCCGGCTGTTGATGAACTTGTACTCAAAGAGATCTGGGGGAAGAGGGGGCCATGGGGTCACCCCATCTCCTTGCAGACCTGCCTGGCCCCTCCCACCTGGGGGGATCCATCACACCCTTACCACCCCAGTGGGTCACATTATCACCCCAGCTCCATCATGCCACTGGGGACTTTTCTGATCCTCCTCCAACCTGGTGGTTCACCCTCATCTCCATCAAAACCCTGGGGCCACCCTGGTGGGTCACCCCCTCCAACCACGTGGAGATCCCATTCTCCCACCTGTGTTGTAGAAGACAGTAGAGATGAAGGTGCAGTTCTTGAAGAAGGTGTTGCTGGAAGTGATGTCCTCGAAGTAACACTCCTCAAAGAGCGAGTCCTCAAACGTCACCGACTTCATTTTCAGCCCGATGAACCTGCACAGGGGGACAGAAGGGAGGCCTCAGATGCCCCCCACTCCTGTGCTGAGTAGCCCCAGGCTCAGCAACGCCACACTCAGCCTCCCCTCACTCACTTGTCATTGAAATACTCCCCGCCACGGTGCACTTGGTTCTCCAGGGTGAAGTTGAAGGTAAAGTGCCGAACCTTCTCACGCGTGAAGAGCTTTGTGCGTGACGCGTACTCAATGCTCTGCAGGTGCTTTATCATGTCCGGGAACCACACGGTGAGCCCATAGTAGCTGCAGAGAATGGAGTGAGTGGGCACCACACACCTGGGGTTCCCAGTGCTGGCCCAGGGCTCCCAGGGCCAGCCTGTGCTACCCCAGTAACGCTTATTCCATCTCATCCCGCTCGGTGCTGCCCCGTCCCGTCCCATCCTGCCCCATCCAGCGCTGTCCATCCCATGCCAGTCCCACCCCGCAGCACCTGAAGGACATGGTGAACCACACCGCCATCATCATTAGTGTCACCCGCCGGTACTCAGGCACAAAGCACTGCTGGAAGTTGCTCCAGACCTGCAGAGGGACATGGGAGGTGACAAGTACATGGGAGGTGACAGGGGGCACATGAGGCACAGGGACCCCTGGGCGGTGCCAGCCTCACCTGCTGGGACAGGTTGAGACATCGCACCAGCCAGCGCCGGTACCATGTCCCGGTGTCTGACTGGATCTCGATGAGCTCATCCTCCCGCTTGATGGTCTTGATGTGGGTGACCTGTGGGTGGGACCGTCTGGGCACACCGGGAAGCACAAGGGGCCTGCCTTGTGCCTCAGTTTCCCCACCTGTTACAGCAGCACTGCATCCCCCGGGTGGTGTTTTTCCCAAAGGTGCGAATTGCACCCTGGCTCCTGGAGGACACCCCACCCTTGCTTGGGGTGCTGGGGACCCCAGGGCTCAGCCCCGGGGGGCTCCTTACCGAGAAGACCCTCTCAGGGTGGCCTTTGGCCCTCATGTTGGTGTCATGGACCTGCTTCAGCACCATCCAGGCCTCGTCGTGCTTCCCATTCTGTGAGGGCAAGCACAGGTCACCCTGGGACAGCCCAGACCTGGGCCCTGACCACCCCATCAGCAGTCCCTGCCTGGGTTCCACCACCCACCTGGGTCCTGCAGCCACCCGGGGATCCCTCCACCATCTTCATCGCCTCCTCAGGGTCCCCCATCCCTCTGGGGTTCCTGGCTGGGTCCCATCGTCCACTTGGGGGTTCCTGGCCAGTTCCACCCCTCTCCAAAACCCATCTGGGGCTTCCTCTCCAGGCCTCACCACCCCCGCAAGGGTCCCTGTTGGGGTTGCCCCATCTCTGCCCCACCTGGGGGTCCCTTCCTGGGGACCCTCATGTCCCCCTCCACTCCAGGTCCCTGATGCACTCCAGATTCCCCCCAGGACACAGCCACGGCCTCCCAGACCCCCACCTCAAGGTAGAAGCGCGGGCTCTCGGGCATTGTGGTGAGCGCCCCAATGGCAAAGACCGAGGGGAAGGCGCAGACGAGGACAAAGACCCTCCAGCTGTGGAATTGGTATGCAGAGCCCATCTGGAAGCTCCAGCCTGGACAGGGACAGGACATGGTGGTGGGGCCGAGCCCCGGCGCACCCCCTGTGCGCCACCGGCCCAGGGCTCCTACCGTAGTGGGGGATGATGGCCCAGGCCATAGCAGAAGCGTAGATGCCCCCGATCATCCAGAACATGCAGAGCCAGCTCAGGTGCTCCCCGCGCTTCTCCTGTGCCAGGAACTCCGAGAAGTAGGAGAAGACGATGGGGATGGAGCCGCCGATGCTGGGGATGGAGGGGAGGGAGTGGCATCACCCCCCGCCCCACACCCCAGCACACACAGGGGGGAGTCAGCCCCAGCTCTGGGGGTCCCTCCGCGGCTGGGCCCCCCCTTACCCCACGCCCGAGAGCAGGCGGCAGAAGAGGAAGGTGCCGTAGCCCTGGACGAAGGAGGAGAAGAAGGCGAAGACGCTGTTGACGGAGAGGGAGATGAGGAGGCACTGCCTTCGGCCCAGCCGGTCGGCCAGCCCGCCCCACACGAACGCGCCCACCATCATGCCCAGGTACACGATGAGTCCTGGGGAGGGGGACACACAGCAAGGTCAGGCCCGGGGGACCCAAGGACCTGCACCTTGAGTCACCTGGAGGAGGGAGAGCACCCTTGGCACTTGGGGTGGGGCATAGGCAGAGACCCTCTCCTCGAGACACTGTGTCCCCTTGAAAGGAGGGGACAGAATCCCATGTCAGTGGGTGGTGGAGGTTGTCCCCCTGCTCTGCTCAGGGACTGTGGGACATGGGGGGCAGATGTGCCTCCAGGACCCCCACACCCAGCCCCTCCCCCTGCCCCAAGATTGCCAGATTTCAGGGATGGGGGGCACTGGTACCCCCTGGGATTTCAAGGGGTGTTGGGCTCTGGCAGGCATCACAGAGAAGAGGGAAGCAATCGAACAAAGCCCCCCTTGGCCCCCCAAACCCAGTCTCAGCATCCACTAATTAGCCCAAGTTTCTGAGCTCACTCCCCGTGGCTGCCCCTTGCCATTGCTCATGTGGGGGGGACCAGCGTGGGACTGGGAGAAGGATGGTGGGAGTCCTATGCCCAGAGGGTCCTGCATCCTTCCTTGTCCCCACATCCCTTCCTGGACCCCATACCTCACAGCCTCCTGGCACCCAATTCTTCCTGTGCTCTTCCATAACTCCTATGGCCCTCCACATCACCCTGAGCCCCACCATGTCCCTCTCCACCCCCAACTCCCTGTGTCCCCACCCTCCTGTGCTTCTCTGTCCCCCAACATGTCCTCATGTCCCCCTACGTTCCACATGTCACTCTGTATCCCCATATCCCCCATGGGATTCCCTCCACATCTCACCACACCTCCTGCGTGGAGAGTGCCCCTCCATGTCGCCCTGACCCTCCCCTGTCCATGACTCCCACATGCCCCTACCTGCCCCCCGTGTCCCTCTCCTCACCCAGCATGCCCTTGTTGGAGTCGGAGAGGCACATATCCTTCTCGGCGCTGGGTAGAACAAAGCCCACCACAAAGACCTCGACGCCGTCAGCCATGAGGGCCAGGCCCAGGACAAAGTAGAGGGTCCACTGGAATCGGCCGTGGCCACATTCCTGCAGGATGAGCTCGTACTGCTGCGCCAGCTCCTCCCGGTCTTTCCTCCGCTGCCCCTCGCTGTCGTCAAAAGCGCCGGCGGCCGCCGCGGCCCCCAGGCGCTCCCCCCCCTTCAGCGACTCCTGCCGGGGGATCCCTTGGTACTCGCCCTCGTAGATTTCATCCTCCTCGTCGTGGCCTTCAGTGGCGTCGCTGGACACCCCCTCCTCCTCGTTGGCCCCCTCACTCCCCCGGTAGTAGCCGTCCTGGGGTGCGTAGTCTTCGTCGTCCTCCTCCTCCTCGAAGCGGGAGTAGGAGCGCCGGGTGTACTCGTCCTGCACTCGGTCCATGCCCCGGCTCACCTTCTTGGCCGCGTGCTTCTTCACCTCCTTGGCAATGTCCTTGGCGCCGCGGATGAACGCGGTCCGGTCCCGGAACGATTCGTCCATGGTGCCGGTGGGATGGGACGCGGCGCTGGGGGTGCCGGGGGTCTCTGCGTTGGGGGCTGTGCCCTCAGGCCCGGGGTGCGGGGACAGGGGTGACGGCGCTACCCATCCGTGGAACGGGGTGTGGGAGGACCCTGGACTTGGACCTGGGAAGCCCAGACACAACCAGGGCTGAGATTGAGTGGTAGTGGCCCTGCGTTCCACCTTGCGCTTTTCTCCGTCTCAGATGGAAACAGGAGGATTTGGGGACCCCTCGGTGAAGTGGCAGGTGAGTCGCCTCGGGGTGCAGTGGGGGCTGGAGGGGGACAGGCTGAGAGACGCTGGCTCCATGCCCTTCCCCTCACCTGGGGGACTCCAGCTCCCACCATTCACTGGAACCCCCCGGTCCCCCTGGATCCATCCCTTCTGCATTCATCCCAAAGGATAGGGGGAGCTGGGGGGAAACCAGGGGCATGGCTGTCCCTGAGCATCCCCAGTCTATCCCCCTATGACCACGAGCCTCCCGGAAAAACAAGGCCTACAGCAAGTCCGGGCTGAAGCCCCCCATTTCCTCAGTCACCACAGGGAGAATGAAGGGACCTGAGGGCAGGGAGGTCCCCAAACCCTCCCAGTGCCGCCAGTGCCCCAGTTGGACAGTTCAAGGTCTGGTACAGGAGGATCCCTCAGAGGATCCCTTGTGGGGGGGGTCCCTTGAGTGACAGAGACCTGCGCGTGCCGGGCCACGCTCGCTCGCTGCGGAAGCTGCCAGGCAGGATTTGCTGTGGGAGATGCCAGCACCAGCAGATGCTGACCCGGCCAGAGGGGGCTGGGGGTACCACGAGTCTCCTGGGGACCAGCCCTGGGGTAGGTGAGGGGCATCCAGGTACCTGGTGTCTCCTTATCTGCTTACAAACCAGCGTCCCACCCCCTCTTCCCCAGCCCAGCGTCCCCACACCCACCACACAGAGCCCACAGAGCTCGTGACAGGGATGGACCCGCAGCCCCCCAGCCTGATGCTGCTGCTCCACCCGCAGGGGCTGTCGTGACCCCCCCAAGTGCTATTTTTATCACTGGCGAGGCAGGAAGGAGCTGCGGGCAGAGGGACGCAGCCGGCGACATATCCTCCCCTGCCCAAGCAAGGGGACAGGGCACACAGGGACGCTAAATTTAGCCCTTCGGAAACCCTGGAGGGAGGGGGGCTGCGGCACAGCATAGACCCCCATTCCTGAGCAGAGCCAGGCAGGTGGTTTTACAGGATAAAATGGCAAATACACTCATGTCCTCCCCTCCGACTGGAGGGAGACCCCAGTCCCCTCCCTGGGCATCCCGTGGGCATCCTGAGGCTCCTGGAAGGGGCTCATCCGTGACCAAGGTCATTTTACTCCAGCCAGGCTTGCAGTTCCCTTTGGAACCTCCCAATGTGGGGCCGGCACTCCACAGACCAGGAGGTATTGGGGGCCAGCAGAAGGAATGGGGGAGCAGGGAGAGGCTGGGTGCACAGTGAGGAAGAGGATGGGCTGGGGAGCAAGGTCACTGCTGGCTCTGTGACAGAGAGCGGCCGTACAAACCAGGGAGCCTTGAGGGGCCAAGCCGACACCAGGAGTCGGCACTGGATGAGATCAGGGGTTTGATCCCACAAGAGAGCCAGAAATCCCTCAGACCACAGTCCCTGAAATACAGGAGCCAGGGAGGCCCCCAAAAATGCCCATCTGGGGGCTGAACATGCTGCCGGCCCTGCAACCCCGTCGTGGTATTGGACAGCTCTGGACAAGGTTATCAGATCTGGATCCGTCTCCTCCGGCCACGCATCCAAGTGGAGCCAAGGATTGATGCAACCATGCACACCAAAATCCCCAGGATTCCCACGCTGGGGGTCTGCATCCCCCCTGCAGCCCCCAGCCTCCCTGCGGAATGCCAGGAACATGGCGACAAGGGGGAAGAGTTGGAAATCACTCATGTCCAAGGTCACCCCC